CAGCTTCTGAGAGAGAGAGAGAGAGAGAGAGAGTAAATCAAGGCGTTGGAAGTCACCCAGATCTAGTGGGCACGGCAGAAGGCAGCAAGGGAATGTCTTATGTATGTGTATTCTACCACAGCGGAGAACCCTTCTCCGAAGGAAGTAGGGACTGAGACGAGGGCTGGAGCAGTGCGGATCAGCTGCTGTGGTCGGGACGGCGGTGAGCTTCCTCCTGCTGTGTGCACTGAGCCAGGTGACCCTCACTCACCTTGTTCTTCCCCTGGCAACAGGAAGCAGCAGGACCTCGGCCCAGGGGCGGCACTGACGTGCGCCTCCCCGGGATGACCTCCAAGCAGGGGACAGCAGGCAGGTCCACTGACAGCAGTGGCGAGGAGGCGTCCACTGCAGTCACACAGCCCGCGCAGGTCCGACTCGGGCCCCAGGGCCGCCCTAACGTTCCGAGGGTGGCATGCAGCAGCCAGGCCCCCTTGGACTCACTGGGCCGGGTCTACAGTGAGGTTCTTGACCTGGTCCCCTCCATGGGCAGGGGGCGCTGTGGGGTTGAGGAGCCCAGGACAGTCACATGCTCACCTGCCTTTCTGCTTGGCACAAGGGCACGGTCAGCAGCTGCTCACCCCTGGGTGACCTAAACTGGACTCTGCACAGTGTGCTGCTTGGAAAGCACGTTCTCAGCCGGCCCCGAAAATCCCTGTTTGTCCTGTTCTGACTTCTGATTCAGCTCCTGCCTCGGGAGCAGAGTACAGGAAGAACGGGTGGGCTGGCTGCAGAACAACCCCTCCCCTCGCAGGAACCCGAGCCGGGAGGGACCCAGTGGGTCCTCGGGAGGAAAACCTCAGGTATAGACAAATTAGAAGCAGGGCTCGGGATCTGCCCAAACTGTGACTGTAAATCTCCTGTATAATCCCTGAACTTTGAAGGTAGTCCTAGGTTTGGGTTTTGGCTCTGTTACTTTGCACAGGTACCTATTCTTTCCTGTGTGTTTCCCTGGCAGCACAAGGAGGCCGGGCCCACGTGAGCACTCAGCAGTCCACAGGCGCCGGCCAGCGCCTGGCTCGGGCCAGGTCCCCATCGACGCACTCAGCCCAGCGGAGCCGGGAGGAGGCAGGCGCGGTTGTGGAGCTCGTCCTTAATCCTCGTAGAACCGGGCTTCTTAACACGTAATTTTGCGAGGTAGGACAAGTTCTTTCTACACCCTTGCTCATGCTGTGAATTTACTCAGCCAGGGACCCGGAGGGGAGCCAGGTCCTGACAGGTGAGGGGCGGAGTCAGTGGCCCTGGCAGGGCAGCCTTGAGCCCAGGCTGGTTGCAGAGAAGAGCTCGGGCCTCTGCCTGGAATGTGGGAGAAGACAGGGAGTGGGGGGCCCGGCCCTGGTCACAAAAGAAACTCCTCCTAATTCCTGCTCTGTGTCTCCAGAGTCGCAACGGACACCCCTCTCCACCCATGGACAAACAGACTCTCTGTGGACACGTAATTACAGGGCAGCATCGAGGGTGGCGGCCAGGGCTGGGCTCAGAACGGGGAGGGGCACAGCAGGTGCTGGTTCTGCCGCCGCTGGGAGCTGGTCATCCGAGGCAAGCAGCCCGCGCCTGGGGTCGCCATTTTCCTCTTCTGTGAGGCGATCATCTCCTTTACAGCTTGTGCTTTAAGAGGAGCAGACGTGCTGCGTCCGACGCTTCCCACACGTGTGCTGGCACTCCTCGCCCAGCCTTGGGGAGGACACAGCACAGGGTGGGAGCTCTCCATGGCAAGGGTGACCCGGGGACCTCAGGGAGCGCCGCCGCCCGCGTGCCCAGTGGCCGCCACCAGAGTGGGGCTCCAGGTCACAGAGCTACGTGCCACCCGCACCCCGCGTCCCCAGGAATGAAGGGATCCCTGGGCTTTCCTCAGCTGTCTCTCTGCCCCAGCCCAGTCCTGGTGGAGACCAAGGGCTGCCCCTGGCATCGCGCAGCGCTTGTGTGTGTCCTGGGGTGCCCTGAGCTGGGCAAGGGGACACCAGGGGTGGGAGAAAGAGCTACACACACACAGAGGTGCCGGAAGCCCGGGAGCAACACTCAAGGTTTGGGGAATTCCCCTGCTTTCCTTTCTGCATGACCAGAATTGGAAAGTTGCTGTCACAGAGCTGAAAGGACAGGGTTGCACTGGGTTAGACTGTTCAACTCTCACAGTCGTCAAAGTGACAGGCAGAGGACAGGCTTCCAGACTCGGCGTCCCGTGCTGTGCGGAAGCACCCTTTAATGCCTGGTGCCATCGGGGCCCGGGGACTCCTGGGAGGGCACACGCAGAAGGTAGTGTCCTCAGTGATGCCAAAGCAGACACAACTGGAAGGGTGGCATGCCATGTTTCTGAGGACCACTCGGAGACCCAAGCATCAGCCAGAACATCAGGTTTCTCAATATTTGGTCTCATCAAAAGGCACATGAGTCTTCAGATTGGGAAAATAATGACACTGTTATGCCACAAGAAAGTTGCCACTGAGAGGCCATGGGACTCTCAGAACATACACTGTAAAAACGAAAAGTCCCCTGGTCTTGTGATACCCCTAAGCCGAAGGCCTGTTAGGGCACTCTTGGGGACACCCTGTAGTGTGAGGCCCTAGAGCCCATCCAAGATTGGCTGCGGCGAAGCATTTCCAAGCCTGCCCTGAGTGCTGTTCCTCTGCTCCTCGCTGTTTTCACTAAGTATGCACTGATTCCGTCCCTGGGTTCCAGGTGCAGAGCCGTGCTGCTAGAAACCAGAAATCCATGCTGCCCTTTCCAAAGCCGCTTCTGGTTCCTCCCGGCACCTTCCTTCCTGGAAGGTGCTCTGTCCTGGAGCCTGTGCACCTACAGCTCCCGGAGCCTGCAGGACCTGTCCGTACCTTCTGTGAGGCCTGAGGCCTGGGCGGACAAGCCGCACGTGCCTGTGGGCAGGCAGGGCCATGGACGTGAGGACAGGAGACCCCCTCCTGAGAATCTGCCCGTCCAGTTTCAACTGTCCTTTTCCCTTTCCCTCTGCCCTTTTTGAGGTTAGAAAATACCTGCTGGTATGACCTACATATCCACCTACTGAAAACTCTGCCCCTCTTCCAACGGGTCCCCTGGACTGTCCTTGTCAACTGGATACTGAGTGGGTTTTAGAGGTCATTAAAGCGTCTGGGATTCTGAGGGTGGATTTGTGGTATCCTCTTGGGTTCATACAGTGCCTGGTAAGAAATCTGTACCATGAACTATGAATGCATGCATTTTGCTGTGCGTTTCAACAGAGATGTTTCCTATTAGAATTTCATATTCTTACGTACTGCTCCACTGAGAGACCTTGCCAGATGCCGGCACACAGGAGGTTGTCAGCGAGGCCGGCTTGGGGCACATGTATCAGGAGCTTGTTTCTCAACCTCTTTCCTGGCCTAGGATCAGGCCAAGAGATGCCATGTGGAGCACACTCGAGTTTTAGTTCTGGGTTCAGTCGATTTTTAGATTCTTTACTGGAATTTACTGTGTGCGACCTTGGACCAGCCACTTAGCATCTCTTACCTCGAGTATCTCAACAGAGTGGATTTTAGTAGCACTACCTGCATCACAGAAGTGTGGTGCCTTCAAGATAATGCATGTAAAATACTTGGTACATGGCGGGAGAAAATGAATCTCTGCAAATGTCCGTGTTTCTCAGGATTGATTACTCACTTACCTAAGGTCAGACAAACACCTGTCTTAGGTTGTGTTTGTCCTAGACAAAGGTTCTGGGGGTCAAGCACTCTCGGTGCTGGTCTGAATCCATTTATCAAGAAATCCCTGCCAGTGTTGCATGGACCCTGCTGGATGTGAGCAACAGCAAAAGCTCCTAAGCCGAACATTACAACTTCGTGGAACAGACTACCTGATCACAGAGCAGTAAGATTAGAACGAGGAGAAAGGTAACAATAGGCCCTTGGAAACTGAAACTGAACCCACAGACCTGCTGGGCAGTGGATGTGGATCGACAAGCCTGTGTGTGCCCCGAGGCACTGATCTTGCCTGACTAGAGCACGAACATGGAGCGGAAGAGAGAAAAGCTGGCTGTAATGCCACTGCGTAATCCTTAGGGCGATTCCTGCAGGGATACAGGGCCCAGTTGTTCTACTACCTCACCCACAGGACTCCAAGGAAATGGGCTGAGTTGGCCAGTGGGGGTCAGGTGAGACCTTCGAGGAGACCGAGACCTCCACGCAGGCCGGAAGCCGCCATGGAGCAGGAAGCACTCTGGGGGAAGGAGGAATGTGCTCGAGACCAGCAGGGAGTGAACAGAGAGGCTGACAGGCGCAGACGGGAGCTGCCAGCAGATGTGCAGCAGGGGTGACCAGATGCAGTTCTACTGCAGGGGTCTAACCCAGTCCCCAGCAGGTCCTGGGGTAGGGGCCGAGGATACGCACGTGGCAGAGCTGGTCCCGCTCGCACTCTGTCCTCACACCACTGCTTCCTAAGCAAAGCCTCCAGCCTTACTGGGAGTCTCCCAGCAGGAGGGGGAGAAAGGAAAAGCAAAGTGCTTTGGGGGTGAAGCTACGTGTGCAGAGCAGGGCTGCCATCCCGAGAGGGTCTGGGCTTCCTGCTCAGCTGTGTGGCCGCTGCTTGAGGCTTGACGTGGCTGCAGTGCTGCGGAAGATTTTAAGTGTTGCTCTGTCACACCACATAGACCAAAGGGACACCTTAGGGGCCAGGGCTGCGGGCTAACAGCCCATGACCCTGGCGATTTGAGAGCCGCGCCCTCTGACATGTCCATCGCCTCCGCAAAGTCTGTCCCCGCGGCCATCTAACGACAGCAGGCGCGTCAGCAGGAGGAAGCAGTGCTGGACGGGAGAGGGTTCCCTGCGCCCTTTACCAGGAGGAAGGCGGCTCGGGACACAGCAGCTTCTGATGCAGGTCATGCGTACAGAGGTACAAAGCGGACATTTGTACTTCAACATTATTCAGCTTCAACCTTCTATCCAACACTTATTTCAGTCTTTTTCAAACTGTATTTCTGGAATGAAAGTTTCAAGGTCCAATAGTAATCACAACATAAAAACCGTGAAATACAAAACCAAAATAAATACTAATATTCTGAAATTAATGGGTTAGTTTATTAGCTGTTTTAATAAAGTAAAAATTTGCTTACATAGTTATACACATGGGTGGAGACCCCTCAGGGATGATCACACAAAAAATGAGGCAGGCTAAGTACACCGGGCGGCTGACCCCAGGGAGAGCCTCGTCCACGGTGGGGTGAGGCGGCTCCCAAGCATCGCTGGCCTGAAGCTTCCCTTGCAGAATACACGGGGTCGGCTATTTTCGGGCTTCGCGGGGGATTCCTTCGCTGTGATGAGATTTACTCCAGGACCTCCTGCCCTTTTGGAGGCCTCTTCATTCTGGAGTAGGGACTTATGGTATCATCCATCACAAAATCGTACAGCACCTTCACCCAGGAGTTGTAGTGGGGCAGGTTGTCGTAGTATTCCGCTGCTATTTTCCTCACCTGGACAGGAAACAATACAGCAGGGTGAGCAGCGACAGCCAGGCCATCGAAGGTGACGGCTGAGTGATCCACACACACAGGGGAGGACCCAGCACCAAACCATCCAGGGGACAAAGCCTCTGCTCACAGCACTCCAGGTCTTCTGGGATTCTCCCCTGAAAGGACGATCTACAGGACACACTGCTCCCCCCGCACGCACACATACACAAACAGGCTTGCATCATAATCCACACTGCTTCGGGCAAAACCAGCAGCCCTCAGCTCATCTCCACCACTAGAGCAGGACAACACTAGCTTTGCACAAGCACGGGTCCAAGCAAGCAGCTGACTCCCAAAACTGCTGGAGACTGAAAGTGCATTAGCAATCCCAGTACAAAGAGGAAGGTGATGGTCTGTACCTGTTATGGACATATACTGAAAAGCTAATAACCTCCCTGCCATCAGGAGCTCCAAATTCTAGAAACTGTACTAAGCACGTGTCTGACTCAATTCGAGTGGTGGCATAATGAACCTGCGGATATCTGTGTACCCCGCAATGTTGTCACAAATGGAAAACTATACATTTAAAAGTTGTTTACGAAGTGTAAACGTCAGTAAAAATACTTGAAAGTTAGCCATGATGTAGGTCCAGGTGGAGCACCTGACTACCACGCACAAGGCCTTGGGTTCACTTCTGTATGCTGCTGCTCACGGCGGCGTGCACATATAATCCCAGGGCTCGGGAAGCCGAGACACCAGGATCAGCTCAGACCAAGAGTGTGAGAAGAGGCTGAGCAAAATAGCAAGACACTGTCTGAGACTGAAAAACAAAACAGAAACCCTACGATATAAACCGTAAAGTGAAGACGTTAAATCAAAACCGAGCTATTGCTGCAAATGTTCTAATACTGACCACAGTGACGGTTGCAGAACGCTGAGTATACGAGAAGCGCTGACGCAAACGCTTTCCGTGAGTAAGCTGCAGGTGAGCTACATTTACTAGAGCTGTTAAAAAGCACTTCACTACTGCATACTTCTTAATGACGCAGCAGACAGGACGTAACTACTATAAACTATGCCATAAACAGCAAGGGTCACTGAGGAAAGAACAAGATTCTCTTCAGCACGCAGCACAGAGGGCAGGAAAATTGAGATGCTGTGTGTCCCCTCAGCTGAGGCACGAGCAGGCACCGCGCGTGTCAGGAGCCTGCGGTCACACAGCCTCCGGACCGCGCCGCGGTTCCTCAACCTGCGCTGCTCCCGAAACCCGTAAGGGAGACCAGGGGCTCGTGGGGCAAACTCCTCAGCTGAAAGGGTGACTGCTTTTTCCTGAAACCATTTCCCTCCTAAAAGAGCTCCAGTCCCCAGCCCGAGGCTGCACACTCCCTGTGGGGCTGCTCAGGGCACAGCGCACTGCCCCGCCGCTCCCCGTCGTCCTCAGAGGGTGCTGAGCTGCCTCCTCCCCGGTTTCATTCTGAAAAGTGAAACCTGCTGAAAAGGTGAAAGCGGAGTGGAAGGAGCACTCGTGCCCTCGACCCGTTTCACCAGCGAGTCACCGTCTGCCCGTGCTCCTCCACGCGTGCCGTGTGTGACAGACCCACACGCTGCTCTCTTTGGGATGCACCGCGTTAAAAGTGAGTTGCACGTGTACGTGACAACCACGCCTACTGCAGGCATTTCATCTCTCAGTACTTCAGCACGCGACGCCAAGGGACATCGTGCTTCAGAGCCACTGGATCAGAATCACGCTGCAGCAATGTCACGCTGAGGCAGTATTACCTAAGACGCAGCCCAGACCCACAATTTCCCCAGTGACTGGAGGTATTTTACGGCTTTTTCTTTGCTAAATTGGGTACCAAAGCAGTATTCAAATGCTGTACTAAACTGTCACGCTGTGTCAATGTTTAAAAATTGGGGCATTTGTAATAGCATAAAGCCACTGGTTGGGGTTCCTTTAAAAAAAAAAAGAAGTTTTATGTACAGCATTAGCCATTTTACAATTGTGGCAGGATTTTTTTCTTAGTTTTTGTGAGATCGGGACTGTGTAGTCCAAGCTGGCTTTGAGCTCAACACATAGCCCAGGCTGGTATCTGGACTTTATAACAAAACCACCATATGAATTCTAGCCAACTTCTCATTTTAATAATGATGAAATTTCCATGAATGGGTATGAACTTCATAGAGGGATTTAGTTTTGTATTTCTGGGTTACTTCACTGGAGATCAGACTTTACACATGTTCCAATACAATCTTTAACTAACCCCAAAGCTTAAGGATCCAAGAGAACCCCTTTTTAAAATTAGGGTGCTATGTGTTACTTATTCGTATCTTTTTCTTTTTCGATGAACAGCTTAGATTGACAAACTATACTAGATTCCTTTTAAAATGACTCAAGTCAATTTTTATGATCACAGGAAAGTAAAATATGCATCAAATCCTTACTCACCAGTGGAAGGTTCTTTCCAGGAACATTGGGGAAGTCATGATGTTCATTGTGGTATCCCACATTGAAGGTCAGTAAATTCAGAGGCCCATAATATGAGTAAGTTTCATACCCCTTTAAGAACATGTAATGTTCGGCTATAAAATGTCCAGAAATCGGGTGTAAGCCCAGACCAAGAAGGGTTGCTGCCAACATGTAAATTAAAGATTTAATTCCTAAAATGTAGTAAACCAGAATGTCAAAAGTGATCTGGACCATGGTATTGATAATTTCAAGATTAGAAATTGGTTTGGGATTGATGAACAGAGGTCGAAAAGCATAAAAGAGGGGCTGAAGAATAACCCACACAAATTTTCTGAAAGTGGTACAAAAGAACCAGCCCTCAAAATCAGTAGGAATATCCACATCGATGCCATCAGCTCCAAGGTATCTATGATGATCCATGTGATACCTCTTAAAGGAAATTGAATATGGAACCCCAATGGGAAGATTAGCAACCATTCCAAACCAGCGATTCCACAGCGTCTTGTGGTGGCCAAAGGTGAAGTTGTGGGCAATCTCATGAATAGCTAGAGTCATTGAGTGGTTAATGCAGCTGCCAAAGACATAGGCCCAAAACACGACCCACTTCCAGTCCAAGTCTTTCACTAAGTAAAAGGCAACCAGCTGGATGAAAACCATCATCAGGATAATCCATATCAAGTTGGGATCAGGTTTCATCAACGATTTTATCTCTGGATACTTTGCTGTAAGAAAAACAAACAAAATCATATACAGAGAATAGCACATAATAATTCAGCAATGATTAAAAAAATAAATAATTCAGCAACTATAATTAAATTAACACAATAATTAATTTTTCTTCTCCAAATCATAACATTCTATTAAAAACTTTAGCCGGGTATGGTGGCTCACGCCTGTTAATCCCAGCACTTGGGAGGCTGAGGCAGGAGAAACACTGTGAGTTCGAGGCCAGCCTCGGCTACAAAGTAATTTCGAGGCCAGCCAGGAATACAGAGCAAAACCCTGTCTCAAAAAAGACCAAAACCAAAAACCAAAAACCAAAAACCAACTTTATCAAATATTTATCGACTATAGTAAATAAATATTCTTTAGTAAAGTTATACTATGACAATAAAAATTTGAGAACTTATGCAAAAAGTAGCCTCAACATCTAGAAGGTCCACATATTTTGTATTAAAGTATATTATCTGCTACCTTTAAACAGACCTTTATCTTATATAAACATCTTTAACTTATATAAGACATGATTAAATCAACACATCTGATAAAATGCATAATCTAGTTTCTCTTAGGCAGTCCAAAATCATCCAATGTATTTTCATGGTTTTCTCAAACCAGCTTACTCCATGCAATTCTGGACTGAATTTTTTTGGGTTTTTTCCGGTACCAGGAATTGAACTCATGACCTTGCGCTTGCCAGGCAGGTGCTGTGCTGCTGAGTTAAATCCCCAACCCCTCTGGACTGAATTCTGACAAGGCTGTACTCATATATAAAAATCAACAGTACAGCAGTGCCCATGTAAGGAAGCAGAGAGTGATCAACAATAGTGCAGAACAGTGCTGGAACAGCAACACACACAAGAATAGATGCCTTCGTCATCTCACACCCAACGCCAGCTGAAATGAATCACTGCTCTAACCATAAAACTAAAAAGAAAAAGCTGGGCATGGTGGCTTAAGACCATAGTCCCAGAACTAGAAGTCTCAAGCAGGAGGGCTGTCTGGAGTTCAAGGCCAGCCTGAACTACAAAGTGACACCCTACCCAACAGGGGAGGTGGGGCACAAAAGAAAACAATGAAATAAATCTTCGTGATGCCTAAAGCACAAATGATGAAAGACCAACAGATAAATTGTAGTACATTAAAACCTTTTCTGTTGCAAATGATACCATCAAAACAGTGAAAAGAATCCATACAATAAGAAATTATATTTGCAAATCATCTATCTCCTGAAGGAACTGTAACCAGAATATATAAAGCATTCTTGAAACTCTTACAATGAATAACCTAATTAAGCAATGGGCAAGGAGTCTGAGCAGATATTTCACCAAAAAAAAGACATGTAAATGGCCAGTAAGCACACCAAAGACACATAAATCTTTACTAATTTATATAAATAGAAAGCACAGGTGCAACATTATACTCACTACAATGGCTGTAATAATAAAAAGAAACAATACCAAAATATGGAGCAACTGGAACCCTCACGCACTGCAGGTGGGAATGTAATGTGGTGGGATGCTTTCAAAAAGTCTGGCAGTTCCTCAAAATGTTGCACACCAAATTGCCAATGACCCAGGATTCTACTCCTACCATCCATGAGAAATGAAAATATACATCCATATAATATCTTGCAAATAAATATTTATAGTAGCACTATTCAAAATAGATAAAAAAAAAAAAAAGGGAAACAGCCCAAATATCAACTGAGTTAAGTAAACTGTGGGACACCCATACAAAGGAATGATGCACCGACACATGCTATAACGTGAACCTTAAGTATTAAGTAAGAGGCCATCACAAAAGACTCAAGAATTATGACTTTGTTCACATGAAATGTCCTTCACAGGCAAATTTATAGAGACAGAAAGCAGATTAGTGGTTGCCTAGGAATAGGTATGGGGATTAGGAATTCAAGGATTCTCTCTGGGATAATGAAATATTCTAAAATTAGGTGGCAGTAATAGTTTCACCACTCTGAACATACTAAAAAATACAACTATATACTTTAAATGGGTGAATTTTATAATGTGTCAATAAGGCTGTTTAAAAACTACTTTCTTTGTGAAAGTACAGCAGTAAAGAACGAAATCCTTGTTATTTATTCTTACTTGATTTGCTAATATCAGGTCTTGTCCCTAGCCCTCTCAAACACACGCTTTTTTTCCCCTGATGGCACTGGGATTTGGGCCCAAGGCTTCTGACATGCAAGCAGGAGCTACCTCCAGAGGCCAATGTCTTTTAAATGGGATTTTGGAGAGATGGGGAACAGGCACTGGATATTGAGCCCAGGGCTGTCACACTGAGCTACATCCCCAGACACCCTTTAAAAAATTTTTTTGACACAGGGTTTTGCCAAGTTGCCTAGGGTGGGCTTGAACTTCTGATCCTTTTGCTTAGGTCTCCCAAAGTGATGAGATTACAGTATGTGCCACCACTGGCTCCTGTTAAATAGACTTTTAACATGAATTCTAAGTATAAACTTATTTTTGGTGTTTTTTTTTTTTAAATAAAAGAAGGAAAACATATTAACAGACATCCATTTACGAAACAGCATAAGAACAATACAAACAATAGAGTTACAAAGTGGTAGGAAATTAACAATGGTTGCTGTATTAGGTACTGATATCTTCAAAGTTGTTTCTCAGGGAAACAGAGACATGTAGGACTGATCAAAGTAGTAATCATTAACTGTTCCTTTTAGTAAAACAACAGAAGACAGAAGCACAACTATGTTAGCTATCCTGTATATACATACATACATAATTTCCCTTTCTTTCCCCACACCCCAGTTGCCCTTCACTTTTGAGCATTTTCCTTTCCTTTCACAGTATCTATCATACCTCCTAGTTTTCATTCACTCTTTCAGGTCTTACACTAGTGAGACAATACATTGCTTACACATGCAGGTCTGATTTATTTCACTTATGAGTATGGTCTCTAGTTGTGACCATTTACCTATAAAAGTCTCGAGTTTATCTTTTATAGCTGGGTAATATTCCATTATATAAAAGTACCACAATTTTTTAAATCCCATCTTTAATGGATGGACATTTGGGTTGCTTCCACAATTTAGCTATTACAAATTGCGCTGCTACGAAGATGGGTGCACATATATCGCTGTGATACCATGTTTTCAGATCTTCTGGGAAAATACCCAGGAGGGGAACAGCTGGATTGAATGGGACCTTTGGACCTAGTTTGCTGAGGAATCTCCAAACTGATCTCCACAGTGGTTTCACCAGTCTGCATTCCCACCAGCAGTGGAGAAGAGTTCCTATTTCTCCACAGCCTCGCCAGCATTTGTTATTGGTTGATTTCTTAATGCTGGATAGCTGGATACTCTTACTGGGGTGAGATGAAATCTCAATGTTGTTTTAATTTGCATTTCTCGAATGACTAATGATGTTGAACATTTTCTCATATATTTATTTGCCATTTGTATTTCTTTATCTGAGAAGTGTGTGTTCATCTCAGATGCCCATTTTTGGATTGGGTCTTTGAATTTGGGGGTGCTGATGTTTTTTAATTCTTTATATGTTCTAGATAGAAGACCTTTGTCCGAGGGACAGTCAGCTAAAATTTTTTCACTGTGTTGGGAATTGAACCCAGGGCCTTCTGCATGCTGCACACCCAATGCTATCACTAAGCAGCTACCTCCCCAGGCCCTAAATGTAAACTATTGTACATAGAGCTGGTCGTTAAACAAAAGATTTTATCGTCTTTCTTCTCCAAAAAAACCTGGCAAAAATACAGTATCTGTTATCATTTAAACATAGTTTAAACTAATCTCTAGAGTCTCATTTTTGCTAAGGTTATTCCACCTTATACCCCTGAAAAACTGAACAGCACTGTATCTAACCCTACTTGAAAATGTATTTTCATTAAGAAATACCTAGTTCTCTAACTTTCCAAGTGATACGGTTCAGTGAGTCTTTTACTCAGTCTGTGAGTAAAAGACTTGCAATTAGTACCTTTCTGCTTCCTTGATTTTTCTATTAAAGTGATAGTTAAACTCCAGGGTTTGGGAGTTTATTTCACAAAGTTGATACCAGACAAAAGCCATATGTAAATAAGGTACAGACAAATATATTCTCATATCAAGTATGTGCAAGTGAATTTGCGGAACATATTTTAACTGAGAGGGAGACAGGGAGGGGTGAGGGTGAGAGAGAATGGAGGGAGCGCGTGACCTAGAGCGCGTGTGCAGACGTGTGTGCAAGCGCGCATAGCATGGTGCAGTGGCGGATGCCTGGACTCCCAGATACTCTGAACGCTAAGGCAGGAGGACTGCAAGTTCAAGCTCAGCCATTTAGCGAGGCCCTGTCTCTAAGTAAAAACTAAAAAGGCCTGGGGATGTAGCTCAGTGGTCGGACATTTCTAGGTTCAATCCCAAGTACACGTCGTAATACTGTATTTCGGGGACGGGGCGCACAGCTCAGCGGTAGAGGTCTTCACGAGCCGCAGAGGCCCGGCTTTGATCCCCAGGGAAACAACCCACTTCGATGTGCTCTATTAACTCTTGTGGTGAAAACACGAAATTTCTAAATACTTTTGCAAAACCCGGGGCTTCCGTTTTTCTTTCACTGGGCAAATGAATGTGCAGAAGAAAAAAATGGGGAAATGGTGTGTGAGCCGGAATTCCTCATATTCGATGCTGCAACCACCGGTTTTCCTGATTTTCAAAGTACTGTGTATTAGAAGTTAAAAGCATCCTGCGGGCACTGAACCAGTGGGTCTCAAAGCTGAAGCCCCGTCTGGACAGCTTGGCTAGAGCCGATCTCAAAAACAAAACACAAAAACCGGGCTCGCGGCCCCGGGCGGCGACCTCCCTCCTCAAGGAGGCATCCTTCTCACCTCGGTTTCGAAACGCAGCCCGGCGGGGGAGCCGGGACGGCGCAGCCGGGCCCCGCTCGGCTCACCGGCCCGCACCCGCGCTCCGCCCC